ATAGTTTATCTTTGCTGTTTCGGTCTTCGGCGTCCAGTAGCATATACCACGCCAAAGCATAATTATCAATGAAACATGTGAATGCTCTTGTTGCTTGCACGTCATCCCAATTAGCAAATTCACACATGAGTTCGTATCGTTGTATCCATACGTCTGCATTTTCAGTTTCGAACGCGTTAAAATGTTCAAACTTCGGTAACTCCATTTTTAAACTTTACGTATACTGGGACTAGTTCATAAATAAAACACTCGCTTGGCTGCAAAGGTTACGACAATCGAGGGATCCTCCCCAATTATAACCCCGTGATTTTCCGGTCTAACTCCGTGAATTTCGGCACGGGTTACATTAAAGTCTGTAGGTCTATAATCGACTCTGTGGCTGCTTCAAACGCAAGACCGTATACAATACATACAAATTTATTCACAAGTGTACAGTTTGAGAGCTAGGGGAAGACTGCCCAAGCAACAGTTTACAAAACATAAATTAAGTCCAAGATAAGGGTATTAAAACATTATAAAAGGTTCTCATAAAATATATATTATTGTCCAATCTTATGTAATAATAATCGGATTACTGTCCTCCGGCTGAACTAAGTAAAATAGCGATAATTGCTTCTTTTGTAGTTCGAGTGTTAGATACGTCTAGGTTAGTCTATAAAAAGGTATATACTATGAAATTTAGAGCGAGGGGCTTGCCCCGAGCTCTTAATTTCATAGTATATACCTTTTTATAGACTATCCAATTTAGCACATATTTACAACTCGAGTAATCTTTTAATTGGTCTATTGATAGTTTATTTTGGCTGACTACTTGTATCACAGGTGTTTGTAAAACGGAGCTCATTAACGAAGTTTTGTAAATCTACTCACTAGTATCATTGTAAAATATGTGATTTCAAAAGGGCCTTGACTCCAGAATGAAAAGATGGAAGCTGCTGGTGTAAGTATGTTTATTGATATAACGCGGGATTTTACTATACATGTACTTCCTTACATGGTTAGATGACAAAATAAATTGACCAAAAGCAGGCAATAATTAAATTGCAGTGGAAGCTTTACATGTTTTGAAAACATTTTTAATTTCACAGTAAAACTAAAGCTATAATAAATTTAAAACATATAGATAGTTTGTCCCCATAGATATAGTCTAGCAGATAGGCATTAAAAAGCAACTACCAATAGATCAGAGATTATAGGTTTTGTGTGGTTTTTTTTATTATTTCAAAGTAAAAACTAAAAGATTTATCAGAATATGTTTATATATATAATTGGCACATTATCTTCAGACATAATCACAGTTTTTTTCAATTCATGACATCGTCCTGAACATGCATGAAATATTTGCCACTGGAAATTAAGCAACCGATAATCAATAAATCAATCAATTCATGACGAAATAGATCACCTTCCTTAAGAAAGTTTAAAAAATTATCACCAAGTTGCTTTAATTTCCCTTCACAAGGTTTCATAGTACACACTTTTTTGTGTACAAAGTAATTGCATGGATGATACATTATCATAATTTTAAGATATCGTTGTACTCTAATCAAGGTATAAAGAACCATATGTATTGCCCTTTATTTAAATGAAAGAAATTTGCAATTGTCAAAAACATTTATTAGATCCAAAGATTTTAATAGCAGGATATTTAAAAATCAACGTGAAAACTAATTACAAACTATTTAATTTAATTTGGAACACAGCATTTTATTTCAAAATAGCCAGTGGCAATTTTTGTTTTAAATACCTTGATTACGATACAATGAAATCTTACCCTTGTGGTCATTCATGCGTAGTTACTTAGTACACGGGAAAAGTATGTACTATGAAAATTAGAAGGCAAATATAAGCAATTTGATTGGACGAGAAGTTGTAGGTATGTGCTAAATGTATTTTAGCACATACTTACAACTTCTCGTCCAATCAAATTGCTTATATTTGCCTTCTAATCTTCATAGTACATACTTTTCCCGTGTACTAAGTAACTACGCATGAATGACCACAAGGGTAAGATTTCATTGTATCGTAATTAAGATATTTAAAACAAAATTGCCACTGGCTATTTTGAAATAAAATGCTGTGTTCCAAATTAAATTAAATAGTTTGTAATTAGTTTTCACGTTAATTTTTAAATATCCTGCTATTAAAATTTTTGGATCCAAAAAATGTTTTTGACAATTGCAAATTTTATCATTTAAATAAAGGGTAATACATATGGTTCTTTATACCTTGATTAGAGTACAACGATATCTTAAAATTATGATAATGTATCATCCATGCAATTACTTTGAACACAGAAAAGTGTGTACTATGAAACCTTGTGAAGGAAAATTAAAGCAACTTGGTGATAATTTTTTAAACTTTCTTAAGGAAGGTGATCTATTTCGTCATGAATTGATTGATTTGTTGACTATTGGTTGCCTAATGTCCAGTGGCAAATATTTCATGTTCAGGACGATGTCATGAATTGAAAAACTGTGATTATGTCTGAAGATAATGTGCCACCTATATATATATATATAAACATATTCTGATAAATCTTTTAGTTTTTACTTTGAAATAATAAAAAAAAAAACACAAAACGCAAAACCTATAATCTCTGATCTATTGGTAGTTGCTTTTTAATGCCTATCTGCTAGACTATATCTATGGGGACAAACTATCTATATGTTTCAAATTTATTATAGCTTTAGTTTTACTGCGAAATTAAAAAATGTTTTCAAAACATGTAAAGCTTCCACTGCAATTTAATTATTGCCTGCTTTTGGTCAATTTATTTTGTCATCCTTCCAAGTAAGAAGAACATGTATAGTAAAACACCGCTTTATATCAGTATACATACATACTTACACCAGCAGCTACCATCTTTTCATTCTAGAGTGAAGGGCCTTTTGAAATCACATATTTTACAATGATACTAGTGAGTAGATTTACAAAACTTCGTTAATGAGCTCCGTTTTACAAACACCTGTGATACATGTAGTCAGCGAAAATAAACTATCAATAGACCAATTAAAAGATTACTCGAGTTGTAAATATGTGCGAAATTGGATAGTCTATGAAAAGGTATATACTATGAAATTAAGAGCTCGGGGCAAGCCCCTCGCTCTAACTTTTATAGTATATACCTTTCCATAGACTAACCTAGACATCTTTCGCACTTTTGACAGCCATCGGATTAAGTTGTAAAATAGTAAATCTATAATCTCTTTGGGTATTTGAAATAAAGAAACATTATATTTAAGAATAAAGAAACATTTTAAAACAAGAAATATTCAACTTAAAACTAAAATGAGAAATATTCAATTTAAAACGAGAGTTCATATATATATATATATATATATATTCAATTCAAAACGAGAGTTCATATTATAAATATTCAATTCAAAACGAGAGTTCATATAAATATTCAATTCAAAACGAGAGTTCATATAAAGCACTTTGCAAATTAAAGTAAAAGTTCCTAACGTCACTTTTCTTCCGGTTATACATATAAGAACGCAATTAATATATTTCCAATGGTATCTCACATCTTTTCAAAAATGATCCTTAAAATGTAAAGCTTCACATATATGTATGGTTATTTTTGTTGTCGATGAAGATTTTGTCTATTCATTGTAGTTGGACTGCAATGTGGAATGTCCCACGCCTCTTTTTCTATATTTGAATAATGAGTATCCTTACAATTAAATGTTTCTTTTTTCAGATTATTGGGTTTTATTGGACTTCTTGATTATATTTTTTGATGAAAAATACTCAGAGTCGTGAGATGGGTAATTTGTTATATAAGACCTATTGTAAGCGCCTGAAATTTAAAACATAGTAGTTTCGCCGCCATTCTTTTTCAAATTATAATGGACGTCGTTGGTTATAAAGAAGGTGATAAGTTCTGCAAAGCTATTTTAAGTTCACTATGAGGCCATCAACATAAGAGAATCAACCAATTTGACCAAAAACTTTATTAAGCATACAGCTTGATACTGTATCTTTTGTTATTGTTTTACTTGTAAATATCTTCATATTTATTTACTATACCATTTAATGTTGGATGACGAATAAGGCCCTTATCATACTTACCCTTAAAAGCTTGACATAATCTTTTGTGTGGAGACCGTTCGTATGTTGACATATAAATGTCTTTTTGTTTTATGATCATAGTATATGTATGTTTATACTTGTTTTACAATTCTTGTAGAAAACATACAATTAAGAATAATCTTTTAAAATGCCAACAGTATTTTCGTCTTTTAAATTTATAATTTTCTTTTATTTCTCTTTCTCTCATATAGAATGTCTAGTATAAATAGTCAATAAACCCCAAAACAAACATTAGAAGTTTGTTCCTGACCCTGCTCATAGCTTCAAGTAATATCTGAATTATTTTTTGTAACAAACAAATTGTTCCGGTGTGACATTTGTTCCGCTGGAACTTATTTCATAGGAAATATGTTCCAACGGAATTTATATCACAGAAAATTTATACCCGGAATATATATTATAAGGAAATATGTTCCAGCACTGTAAAATTTGTTCTGGAACTAATTTGTTTACTAAATGTTAAATAAGTTCCGGGTGTTATAGATTAACATTATGCATTAACTTTATATCAAGCAAAACATTCTATAGTTGTACCTGACAAATTTAATTCTCAACACTGAAGTCTTTAAACAACACGAAAACATTCAAAATAAGGTAAATCTTTTAGAAATTCAAATTACGTCAGCATATATATTATGTATATTGTACGTAGATAATATGATTAAAAAACAAATGCACAACTATGATTAACAACTGTGATAAATATTTAAAACACACGATTTCATTTTTCTACAAATTCTGATATGAAGTAACATATGTTGAATTGCAATTTTCATAAATAAATGATTGATCTATAAAAATTTTCTGATGGATTTTTCTTATTGTTCGCTTTTCTGACTCATTAAATTATTTTCATTTGGGTATTTTTTTTTATGGATAATGTAATTAAACATTTTGCTATACTCCACAGAATCCATATTGGATGTTTACACCTTTTATTTATTACATTATCAATTTAATACATGTTTTTATAATGTACTTGAATTATAACTTTAAACTCACTGATAACAATGCTCAGTATTAAAGATAACTTGTATAACTAGTGGAACATATTTCACAGACAAGGAACTTATTTCAGCAGGTAAGGAACAAATCTCACAAACCCAGAACGTATTTCACTAGGTAAGGAACAAATTTCACAAACCCAGAACTTATTTCACCAGGTAAATTGTGGAACTTATTTTATAGAGATGGAACAAATAATATAGAAATTATCTGTGAAAAAAGTTCTCTCCGAATATATTTCCTGTGATATTTGTTCCACTGGAACTTTTTTCACAGGAACAAATTGTGGCTCACATATTCACAACTATTCTATATATTATAGTTAGACTTGGGAGGATAAAAAACTTTAAAATGTTGTAATGACATGTCCATTGAGGAAGACCGTAGATTGAACTTTAGAAGTAAATTGTCACGTTTTGTTTTTGCTTAATTGGGTTGCTGTCTAAATTAATTATGTATACTTCACATCTCCTTAAAAATCATTCATAGAAATTAAACATTGCTTAAAATATGTTAGCATAAATGTATGATTGCTTTCATCGTCTGAGAGTAGTTTTTTTGTTCTTCTTATATTCCCTTTTAGATATTTTTAGTCTTCTGTTCTTCAACGTCTGCTATCTTGCTAGGAAGAGCTAGCTAGGTAGATCTAGACAACATCCAACTTAGCCCAACGATCTTGGGGTTTGTGCGGGGGCACTTATTATGTAATGAGTGGAAGGGATGAGTCACTGGGATAGATCACTATTTGAAGCTTCATGATATTGCATGAGGTCGAGAAATTTATGTGAAATATAAGACAAGGTTGATGATTGAATCTGAAACTAATCAGATTTTTTTTTACAGATGCAATTAAAATCACCAGAGATTGTGTATATATGTCTCTAAAATCACTTTCGTAAATGTTTAAGATATTTGTCAAATCTATTTACTAGTATCTTCCCATGAAATAGCGTAACAATGATAGCTATGTGCAGGTATATATACTTATTGTAAAAAATATATGATAGCTAGAGTAACTACATGTGTGTTCTTTTATCATTCAATATATATATATATATATATATATATATATATATATATATATATATATATATATATATAAAGGGTGGGGTATTGGATGTCTCAGCTGCTCACCCCTGCCATAGAAAGGTCGAAGTACCGCCGTCCCCGCCACTGAGATAAAAATTCTCGTGTAAATTAATATTAATCGAAAAGAAATTATTTGATATCTCCGTTTTAAAATGTTTGTGTTGCCTTTAGATTATCTTACTGAGTATAAATAAATTTAACCTACGAAAAAACATTTTCCTAAAAGTTTTCTTATGTTTTCACGTATAAAATGTACGTAACAGTGAGCGACTGGATTGAAATAATCACGTGTGTGTTTACAAATCTTCAGGAGATTCGGCTATTATAGATAAGTGTTACCTGGGGCGTGTTTTATTGGTCTCTTCTGTATATATCTCCAGAATGTCTTCTGGTGAAGAGTCCAAAAAAAAAAATGAATCTGGACCTCTTCTGGAGATATTCTGTAGAAGAAGCAGTAAAATAAAAATTCAATTTGCCGTCGTAAATAGCTGATTTTTTTTTATGTTGGATGACATAAATGAAGTTTACGATGATTCTTTAGAAAATTAAGATACGTTAGTTCCGATACGATAGACATGACTGTAATATAGTGTGCTCTGTTTTGGCATTGATGCAATTATACAATACGTGTAAAAACAAAGAAAAATGGTTTGGAAGAAATCGCTGTGTTCGTGACATTGTTTTTCTTTATGCTGTCCTAACTCAATTTTGCTAAAAAAAATCCGGCTTAAAGCCCCGACCATTTGACTTTCAGGAATAATCTTAAACTGTACAAGAATTTGTCAATGTTTGTCTGGCATATGATCGAAAAGGACATCTTGTCTATCCATTTTTTTAAAGTGACCAAACTGGATTATTTTTGTATAAAGCAAAGACATCGCAGAGTTCTCAAAATCATTTTCCCTGGTGGTTCTTGAAGAAATTCTGCTGGTCCTAACTTATTTCTATTGCAAAATTTCGATGGGCAAAACCTTCGGACCACAACTTTTCGAAAACCTTTATTGTATATGCACGTACATATATACAAGGTATACAAGGTCATGGTGTTTCTCAGACTGTTTATGACTAAATTCGTTGCTTGTGTACTGATTGATACTTTAATCTGGGAGATTTATTTCAGTGTTAGTTGTAATTAGCTTTGAACAAACTTACATTAGCTGCAAATACTTCTATTTCGGTGCTTTGTGTCTATTGTCTTAATATTAGTTGTTTTTTGAGTCTCGTACCGATCTTTTGAGTTAATCTAATTGCAACTGATTTTTACAGTTTGTTTTTGTGTCTTGCGCTCACAAACATGTTTAACCCTGCCATATTCTTTATGTGTCTGTCCCAAGTCAGGAGTTCAGTGGTTGTCGTTGGTTTTATATCTGTCGACTCATATTTGATTTTTTGTAAATTGATTTGTTATATATAATTAGGCCGTTAGAATTTTCGTTTGAATTGTTTATCATTTTTCATGTCGAGGACTTTTATAGCCGACTATATGGTATGGGTTTTTGTCATTGTTGAAAACCGTACTGTTGAATATAATTGCTTACATCCATTCATTTGAACTCCGGTAGATAGTTGCCTCATTGGCAATCATACCACATCTCCTTTAAAGGCTTTTTTATATTATATACCTGACTTCTAAACTCGTGTTTTCCTGAACATGCATGAAATATTTGTCACTGGACGTTAAAAATAAGCCACCAACAATGCATCAATTTAAACATGTTAAACTTGTGTTAAATGAGGGGAAAACCATTTGATATTTTTTTTGGGGGGTGGGGTGGGGGACAGGAGGATTTTACATATGAATATAGTGGCCTGGTAAGAGCTGAAAAAAAACATGATTAGCGATAGATTAAAATGAATAATAAATCCGCAAAAAATCGTCCTGTCCCTCCCCTCCCCAGAATATCAAATAATCGTCCCCTTACTGTTATTGTCCGTGTAGTTCTTATATTTATCCAGCTTAATTATCGTCACTACAGAGATGTCCTACTAAGGCTGTCATACCATACAAACGTTTTATCACAAAGCTCACATTCTATTATAGTTGCATTCGGGCGTATTGCATTTCCGCTAATTTTTCAAAGTTCCAATACTACGTTTCTGGAAACTTAAAGTATACGTTTCCAGAAATTGTATTTATTACTTTTCCGGAAATTTACCTGGTGGTAAATTAATAATATTTGAATATATGTTAGATAAATTATTTATTTCATATTTTTATACAAAAAAGGTTCTGATCCTATATCTACAATATACTAGATATAAAAAAAATGAAAGTTTCACCTTAGTGAAAGATGATGATGTTGGAATTGTTATATTTTTATGTTTCACCAACTTGAAATGTCTATGATCGTCTATGCAATGAAATAACTAATATTTTCATAGATGGCACAGTTAATTATTCAATACATGGGTGTAAAATGGTAACTACATTCCTCTTGTGTTTGCGCTACTTCCACTTTTATCAAAATGTGGGATCTGCTTATTGATGTGTGCACTTCCCGAAGACTAACTCTCCAGTCCGAGGTAGATCATATTGACTTTGAATGTGCAATGCATACTGCTGTTACAAATATTTCATGCTGCTACAATCAGTTGTTGCAGGTTTCATTTAGGACAAAGTTCAAGGTATTCCTTTAACTGGTCACCCGCTGATTGATACTTCGACACAAACGAAGTTTGTGTAGATAAGATTGAAACAACAGCAGGGGTCCAGATAAGGTACTCCTTACTTATTTTCGCGAAAAAGTAATAATTTATTTTTTCCGGAATCGTTACTATTGACTCGGAAAAGTAAGGTATTTATTTCCGGAAACGTCATCTTTTTTTCCCGGAAAAGTAATGCCAATTTGCGGAAACGTAAAACGCCGTTGCATTCATATTTATTAATGTCATTTAGACTTAGCGACGCCATGTTTGCTATGTACCTCTGCCGTCTTAACCACGGGCGTGTTTTTTTGTTCTTCGGTAGTGAGCCAGAAGAGGTTCATTTCTATTTTTTTGCATTGGGAAGATCTTCTGGCTCTCTTCTACCTCTTCTTTTTATATAGGTAGTTTAGACGGTAGAGGCACATAACAAAGATGGCGTCGCTTAATCTAAATGACATTAATAAATTTATAAATGCAGATATAATAGAATGTGAGTTGTGTGATAAACGTTTTTATGGTATGGCAACCTTAGTAGGACATTCCTATAGGGACAATAAGCTGGATAAATATAAAAACTACGTGGACAATAATAGTAAGGGGACGACTCTTTAATATTCTAGGAAGGGGAATTGGACAGGAGGATTTTTTGCGTTTTTTTTTTTAATCATTTTAAATTTTTAATCTGTCGCTAGGCATGCCTTTTTTTCCAGCTAGTACCAGGCCACCGTATTCATATTCAAAATCCTCCTGCCCCCCTCCCCAAAAAATCAAATGGTTTTCCCCTTATTTAACACGGGTTTAAATTGATTGATTGTTGGTTACTTATTTTTAACTTTCAGTGACTAATATTTCATACATGTTCAGAAAAAAGTCAGGTATAGAATATCAAATCTAGTAAGGAGATGTGGCATGATTGCAATTAGGCAACTATCAACCGGAGTTCAAATGAAGTAGTGTCAGCAATTATAACCAACCGCACGGCCTTCAACAATGACAAAAACCCATACCGTTTAGTCAGCTATATAAAGCCCCGACATGAAAAATGTGAAAAAATTCATTTCAAATATTAAAATGAAAAAAAAAAACGGCCTTACTATATATATCAAAACCCTTTTAAAAAAAATCAAATATGAGTTGACAGATATGAACCAACAACCACCACTGAACTTCAGGCTCCTGACACAAGTGTACAGCTTGAGAGCTAGGGGAAGACTGCCCAAGCAACAGTTTACAAAACATAAATTAAGTCCAAGATAAGGGTATTAAAACATTATAAAAGGTTCTCATAAAATATATATTATTGTCCAATCTTATGTAATAATAATCGGATTTCTGTCCTCC